TGCGCAGAAAAGGAGACATCTCCAAAATTCAGGGACCTGAAAGATTGTTGGCTGGAAAAGGGAGGCATCAACGGAAGAGGTAATGATTTGCACGTTTCATCGTATTCGAATATTGGGAATAAGAACTGTTTACAATCTTGCATTGGATGTAAAATGCTTCCGGGCAGTCTGGAACAGGGTGATGGAAATTGCCTCGCTTGAAATCTATGTGATTGTATTGTAGGAAGTAAATCAATGCTATGAAAGGTCCAGATGCCAATTTTCACAGCCCACGCCATTCACCGGGGCCAAGAAGTTACACAGTCAGACACTACAGATACTAACTAAGATAGGGTAGCTCATGCCTTGACATCAGCATCGGCATCTTCGATCTCCAGACGGGTGCCGTATACGGTGACACCCCGGCCAGCATCATGCCTCGTCTTCTCAAACTCCTCAAACTTGAGAGGAGCGCTCTTGGGATCCAGCACAAACTGCCGGTGCCAAGGTCCGACGAACAGTCCGTCGGGGTCAACCTCATCGCGGACCCGGCGCCACTGGACCATGTCATCACCGTACCACTCAGCAAACTCCTCGTTCTTGACGTTGAAGTTCTTGGCCCAGTGCGGCTTGCCACCGAGGTCACGCATCAGCCACTCGAAGCCCTGCATCCAGCGCTTCAGGCCGGGCGGGTCGAGGTCGTAGGGACGGTACATTGTCGCGTTGAGGTTGAGCGTGGGGCCGTCCTTGACGGTGCTGTCGAGGAAGGGTCTGTTGCGCTGCTCAGCGCTGGTGTGGACGGTGGCGTCGCAGACGCGGACCTCGACGGGCGAGTGCACGTAGAGGCCCTCAGCAGAGAAGGGAATGCCGTGGTCGACGTAGTCGGGGTCGCCCGGCTTGAGCTTGTTGAGCCAGGATCCGAGACGCATCAGGGCCTCGGGCCCGCGGTGGAGCGGGATGGCCCACTCGTTGACGAATTGGCTGTAGAGGCAGTTCATCCACAGGGCCTTATCCATGGGCTGGATGGCTGACGAGGTGTAGCCATCTTTGAAGCCGTATTGCATGCCGAACACGAACCTGTAGAACGTCAGTTAGTCCGTTGAGTCCGTCGACGAGGTCGGATGAGGTGTATCAAGGGAGGGGTCGCTTCAGCTTACCATTCAACCCAGGGCAGGATGCGAGGGATGTAACGCGATAGGTAAAGGAGGTTGTGGTATATGTGATAACCGAGAGCTCCATCGTAGTAGCCGACTGGCGGATCTCGGTTCTTCTCCTTTCCGGACTCGAGGTCTTCCTTTGTGACGATGTCTGCCTTCCAGACCACAGCCCTCCTGGTATAAGGCAGCCACCACACCCGGACAAAGTCGGACTGGGTCCACAGCTTGTTGTCCTGCTTCCAGGCGTCGAGCATCTTGTAGTCGGCCTGGATCGTCTGCTGCCAGTGCAAGCTGAAGGCCGGCACGGCGCGGAAGCTGACCTCGGTAATGATGCCGAGGGCGCCGAGCGACAGCGTGGCGCCGCGGAAGAGATCCGGATTCTCGTCCGGCGAGCATGAGACCGTCTCACCGTTGGCAAGGACAATCTTGAGTGAGGAAATGGCCTCGGACAGCAGACCGTATTTCAGGGTGCTGCCGCGGGTTCCTGTGCTGATGACGCCGGCGATGCTCTGCTCGTTGACGCTACCCAGCACAGGGAATGAGAGGCCATGCTTATTCAGCTCCTCAGTGAGTTGCCACAGCCGGATGCCGGCTTGCATGACAACGAGACCAGTCTCTTCTGTCAAGGTGCGTTAGCATAGCTCTCATGAGATTACGCGGATGAGTGAAAGAGTGAATGAGTGAGTGAGATGTGACATAAGGGTCTGTGCTTACTATCGACAGATAACACTTTCTTGAATCCATCGAGGTTGACCAGCCAGTTACTCGTGCACGTGAGGTCTGAAGGTGAGTGTGCATGGCCGACCGTGGTGATGCGCCGTCTGCACAGGCGCGCGAGCTTGACTGCCTTCTCGACCTCCTGCTGCGACTGAGGCTGGATGAAGAGCTCCGGCAGCGATGAAAAGGTGCGCGCCCAGGTGGTGTGGAAGTGAGCCGACTTGGCCCGGAACGGGATGCCATCGGCAGCGGCATCATCGATGATGCCGCGAATGTGAGGGTCCAGGGACGCAACGGCGGCCATTGTGAGTGTCGGAGCCTGCTCTCGTCGACGATGATAATTAACAACTATTACACCGGGCTCGGAAGAAGCAACGTCGAACTAAAGACGACCCTGATGATGATCCAAGGTTGAGGGGCTTTTGTTAAGTGCCGCCCGCCTCTCTCGTTGGCAAAGATTATGAGGGAAAACCCGAGAGTGAATTGAACAACGCACCCTGAAAGCCGAGTGTTTTGGAAATTTTGAGGCTAATGACGGTTTATATGACAAAACAAGTTTAGCGTCCGCAATGGAGCACACCGCATCTTCTGGGTTTCTGACTTTCTGCGGTGCTTTCTGGTGCGACCGTACGACTGGCGCCAGGGATCGGGGGGATCTGTTTGTGGATGACGAGTCAAGGAGGGTGGCTTGAAACGGGAAGTCTCAGAGGAACATGGATACTGGGGGTTCCGCCACACTTATGCCGGCCGGCGAGGCCCGGTAGGAGAAAAATTGCAGTTGGCAAGGATTCTTGCATTTGGGGGTCCTCCCATCCATGATCTCTCTTCTCTCTCTGTCTTTGCGGCTTTGCCCAACTTGTCGTTCTGCTGTCACTCTGTCACTTTTGTCTATCAAGTTGTGGCAAGTTGAGACGAGGTGACACGTGCAATCGGTCCAAATTCACTTGGCAAAATAGCTCGCGCTCAAAGGGCTTGGCCCAAGATGGACCACGCATAAACTCCACCACGCAACATAGCTTCGTAAGTATTGACGAGTTGATACTCTAATACCTTACCTATGTATCGGCACTGAGTCGAGTACCCTTTGAGCGTACGCGGCTTGAGCCTAGCCCTGGGAGAATCCGAGCTCGCGGTTTCTGGGTACGCTAATAGAAGCGGACGGAGAAGAGCGGTCTCAAATGCCCACATATCAGTTATGGTTAATAACGAATTCTTCCTAGTCCAGGAGCCTGGCAAGCAGCGAGGCCCCCCATGCCGGCTTTTTAGACCAGACTTCTGGACCGATCCTGTTGTGACCCTCTCATATCAAGTAGCAAACACCTCACCGGCTCAGCCCTTTCTTCTCACTTCCCGTCTTAAGGCTAGACAGTTTCCTGACAAGTCCCTCTTCTTTCCCGCCCCTCTTCCCGAACTTTTACTCCCTGAGCATATCGAACCATTCTCACTAGCTCTCATCTCATTCTCATATCACCTTTCCTCCAGGAGTTATGGCTACCACAACAAGCCTCAACCCGGCCTCCCGGCCTTCCATCGCCTCCGTCCTGCCGCCTCTCTTCCTAGGCACAGCAACCTTCAACACCCAGCATGTAAAGGACCCGCTGCAGATGCCGTACAGGCAAATCGTCTCAAGGGCGCTAGAGCTTGGCGTCAACGGCTTCGACACATCGCCGTACTACGGCCCCTCAGAAGTCCTGCTCGGTGACGCCCTGGCCGCCCACACCGCAGCCACCAACATTCCCAGAGAGTCCTACGTGCTGGTCACAAAGGCAGGCCGCATCGCCGGAAACGAGTTTGACTACTCGCCGGCGTACGTGCGCTACTCTGTCCTCCGCTCCCTCAGCCGCCTCAACACGACGTATCTCGACCTCGTGTACATGCACGACGTCGAGTTCGTATCCCCCGCAGAAGTCCTTGCCGCCGTTCAGACGTTAAGACAGCTTCGCGATGAGGGCAAGATCCGCTATGTCGGTATCAGTGGTTTCCCCGTCCACGTTCTCTGCAGTCTCGCTGAGATGATCCTCGCCGAGACTGGCGAGGCCCTCGATGCCATCCTCAGCTACGGGCACTTCACTATTCAGAACCCCACGCTCGGCCTCGCAGAGGTTGTCGCCGGGCCCGACCACACCGACGAGCAGAGCCCACTGCGGAGATTCCGCAACGCCGGCGTGCAAGTCGTCCTGAACGCCAGCATGCTCGGCATGGGTCTTCTCACATCCACAGGCGTTCCCGCGCGCACGGAGACGGCGGAGGGCAAGGCCGGCGTTATCGCGTCGTGGCACCCCGCGCCGGACGACCTGCGCTCGGCATGCCAGAAGCTCTCGGCCATCGCCAGCGATGCCGGCGAGCGTCTGGAGACTGTTGCGCTTCACTGGTCAATGGAAGAGTACGCCCGCGTCGGCGCCGCAGCTGGTCTCGGCGTGCAATTGCCGGGCCAGAGCGGCGACGTGCGCGTCGGAGGCAGCGTCATGGGCGTCACCAGCACCGCGGAGCTCGAGCAGACTGTCGAGTCGTGGAAGCTTGTGCTCCAGGGTCTTGCTGCTGGCAGCGAGGCTTCGGCGCGGTATGAGAAGCTCAAGGCTCTCGTGGAGCAGAAGATGTGGCCCGAGTTGGGCGTGTGGAAGGGCTACAGCTGGGCGAGTCCCGATGATGGCTTCCAGAACGAGAGGAGCGCGGATAAGTTTGGCTTGATCCCGGAGGAGGATGAACTGATGACCAACTTCATGACTAGAATTTCCAGCAATCTGTGAGCGATTAGCGTTACTTGCATGTCTCGATACCTGATAGAAATAGACACTTTTGACAAAATACTCTGCCATGCAATTCCTCATACAGCGACAAGCATCTGATTGGTCAATGTGCCTTGACACACAAGCCCCCATGGCGATGCAGGCTATGGAATCTTTATGAGGCGCACCATCACCTGGGACCGATTGATTGGACTGGAGTTGTCTTATTGCGGCACAGCCTGCCTTGGGCACACTCTGAGGCATTCTGCCAGCTGCTTTCGAGGGCCTTGGAAATCATAAGGCGAGGTCTCCCCGCCAACAGCCTGATCGTATCTTCGCCATTCTCCCTTTTCCAAGTTTGCGGATCGCTGCTGTCATCGATCGTTTCAGTACTGCCCTGAGTCTTGACAACGGCTGAAAGATGGCAGAAGCCTTTGGCCTTGTGGCGAGCGTTTTCGCAACTATTCAGATCGCAGATAGAGTGGTCTCGATCTGCAAGCACTACATCGAGAACGTCCGGGATGCACCATCCGATCTACGCACGATCCTCGTCGAATGTTCCTCAGTGGGAGCAGTCTTGCAGAACGTCGAGTTCCTCCTCAAATTCGAAGAACCAGACTCGGCTTTGCGAAAAGCTTTGGACGGAGATGCAGGGCCTATTGCAGAATGCCATGGCGCCATCGAACAGCTGGAGAAGTTGATCGCCTCTGACCAAAACCAGGCACAAGGGCCCCCTGATTCGAAGAGAAGAAAAGTGCAGGTCACTCTGAGGAACTTGGCATGGCCGTTGAAGGAGACGAAGGCCAGAAAACTGCTCCATGACGTTGCACGGTGCAAAAATACAATCAGTCTTGCTTTAACCGCAACATCCAGGTAAGTGAAAATGCCGTGTTTTACATCGAAACCACGGGTAGCCCGCACGAATTCTAAGACTTATCTTCGCCTAGTTATGACATCAAGCTCATACGCGAGGGAACTTCACGTATCCAGCAAGTTCTGACTGGTATGTTCCACTCGACCTCTTGAGCGATGGCCACTGTTATCATACTGATCGTCACATTAATGGTTAGAAAATCAACGAAACGATGTGTACAAGTGGCTCAGACACACCGACCCGTCATCAATTCACCACCGAGCTTGCACAAATCACGAACCTGGGACGTGCGAATGGATGTCACGTACTCCAGAGTGGGCCCAGTTCAGTCAAGGAGATATACGATGCCTATGGATTCACGGCATCCCGGGAGCCGGCAAAACTATCTTGGCTTCACAACTCGCTGAGAAAATCGAAGAGAGTTGCCGACAGTCTACCTCAAATGACTCTGTGTCGATTGGAATTCACTACTACTGCTACTTCGGGCACAACCAAGACGAGTCAGCTCCATTTTTACGATGGGTCCTTGAGCGTATGTGCAGGAAGGTAGATCAGGTCCCAGATCATCTTTGGAAGATGTTCAAGGATGGTAGGGATCCTAGCCTCAGCGACCTGCTCACTGCTCTTGGGGCCGCCTCACGCTACTTCAGCATTGTTTACATCACGATTGATGCTGTTGACGAAAGCAGTCCACGAGAAGAGCTTCTCAAGGTTTTGCGAGATCTCGCCACCGACTTCAGGTTCCCAAACATCAGGCTCTTAGTTACTAGTCGCGAATATCTGGACATTGAAAAAGTCATGGAAGAGATTTCGACGGAAATTTCCATGCGAAACGAGTATCTCGACGCTGATATACGTCTGTATACTGAGACTCGACTCGCTACCGATGACAAGCTGAAAGACTGGACAAAGGATGTACGCAAAGAGGCTCTAATAGCCCTGTGTGCGGGCGCAAAGGGAATGTGAGTATTCCACTCACAGTGTCTATTGTTTATCTAAGACTAATCGATTCGTCCTGCAGGTTTCGTTGGATTGTGTGCCAGCTCGATTCTTTGCGGCGAATCAAAGGGAGCAAGGCGTCCATCCTAAATGAATTAAGAAATCTCCCAAAGACCCTCGATGAAGCATACGACAGAATTTTCGACGCCATACCTAAAGAAGATCTCCAACTTATGGTTTCAGCTCTTGATTGGATCTGCTTCAACAACAAATTCCATGGGCATCAATCAATCAACTACAAGGTGTTAGTTGGAGCAATCCAAAGAGACTTATATCGGCAAAATCCGAGTACACAAGACTATCGCTATGATGTCGAATTTCTTCGCGAATTATGTGGCTGTCTCATAACTGTCACGGTAAACCTTTACCACCGTGTTTATCAAGACGGACTAGAAGTCTCATTTTCGCATTACACTGTCATGGAATATTTGGCCGTGTCAAACCGATTTGGTCCGGAATACTGTTTTCGCCTTGACAAGTTCACAGCCTTGAGCCAACGAGCGAGCGTTATTTCCTCGGAAGCATTTCAGTACAAGATTAGCGACACTAGGACTCTTGAGAACGATCAACTTTCTCCGACCCCCAGATGGGAGTTAGATTTTGGAACGTATTGTAATCTCGCAGTCATCGAGATGATCGAATACTATGAAGAGGTCCTCGTACAGAATGAGGAACTTGCTACCATGCTTACGACTCCGCACCACTCAAGAACACATCCTTTGGAAACGTTGCGTAATTTGGAACTTGAACTCCTGGAAGATGGGCTAAATGTCTTGGGCGCGCTCTTCGAGGACTACATGCCCGTGTCTGTTCGTCCATCCACGCATATTCAATTCTATGCATCAACGCCGCCTGATATTCGGATTCTGGTTGACCTCTTGTTCATGGGAGCCTTCAAGCTAGCTGACATTATGCTAAGCAAGGAAGGTAGTGCAAGGAATATCCTGCAGACTACGGTACACCTAGGTTACCGGTTTAACGAAAGAAGCTATACGCAAGATTTCGTTCTTCCGCTTGTGAGATTTATTGTGGTCGTTGGTTGGGGTGATCAGTATCGTATGCATGCAGCATTGGGGTACGTCATAGGGGACTGGCGAGAAGCTATCGACTGTCGCTGTTTTCTCCTGGACTCCATTGCTTTACATGGTCATCAGACTTCCGTAGATTACAGCTTCTTCAAGGGTGTGGATTGCTTTGAATTATGTGGACTTGAGGACCTTCTACGCCTGGGTGCGGAAATAGATGCACCGGACTTCGTAGTCACGCCACTGCAAATTACCGTCGCTTGTTTGGATCAGAATGGAGTGAAATTTCTGCTGGAGGCTGGAGCGAATCCAAACGCCCGAGGGAATCCAGCTGCGATGAATCGGCCAAAGAATACCATACTACGTGCGTGCGATTATCTCAGTGGTATGAAACCACTCCAAATATGTCGAAATGGGGTTCAAAGGCCTTGTCTAGATGCTATACTCGGCTGTGGAAGGCATTTTGAGGGTGTCGCCAACTACCGTGGCAAAAACATCACGGAGATCTCGGGGAGAATTGAGGCTATGCTGCTCAAATACGGTGCTACATGAACAAAGACTCTTCATAGTTCAGGGATAAATCATGATCTAAGTATAAGCTATAGTCTAAGTCTCACGTTCAGCTTCAGCTTGATTGACGATATCCGTGCTATGCTACTTGTTGACGAACTGAGTGATGGCGCATACTGTTAACTCCCTTAGTAAACACCCGGCAGAATCTTCCATCTAACAATCTTCTTATACTTCTCCCAGTCCTCGCCGTATTTCTCCGAGCAAGCAACATCGTCCCTCCCTTCGCGATGAATAAGCAAAATGGCGAAGTACAACACGTAAAAGTACGTAAAAACCATGCCCCAGCCACGAGCCGCGCCCTGAACGACTTCACGACCGTCAAGCATCGTGATAGCACCAGACACGGCGCTGCCAGCAGTGAGGATCTGGTAGCCGGACACGGCAGTCGGCAAGCTGAACGGTGAAGCCTGGAGCCAGTCGCCAAAGTAGTTGATATGCCGAGACCTGCCCCACCATCCACCAGTAAGCAGCCTAGTACCGCGCTTCGTCTGGATGAAAGGCAAATCCTTGACGCTCGGGTGGTCAGGCTGCGTGCGGAAGACCTTCTTTTGGTTATTCGCAGAGCGGAAGATATACAGGCCCGTTGCGAAGACGGCAAAGATGCTGGCGACGCCGGCCCAGCCCAGGTGGACGGGGTAGACGGAGAGGTAGCGGGTCTGGGTGGAGTAGAGGAAGGGCACCCAAACGATGTCGCCGAACGTCAACATGAAGCCCAGGCCGTCGGTGGTGATGTCCATCATGGTGAGCAGGCCGGCCTCCATGAATTGGCCCTCGAGGACGTAGTAGCCCTGCACGGCGGTCGTGAGGAGGATGCTGTCGGAGAGGTAGCCGTAGGTGCGGTACTGCTTCGCGCAGAAGGCGAGGTTGAGGATGACCCAGCCGGTCAGACCGGGGCGCATTTCCAGCCAGGCTTTGAGGTCGATCTCGCCGAAGAAGGGAAGGGTGATGCGGGGGTTCAATTCACGGCCGATGTAGATGTCGTAGATGAGGCTGCCGGTGTTGCCGCCGACGGCTAACTCACGTAGCTCTGGGTTGCCGGGTTTCACGCTGAAGCTAGCGACGTAGACGTAGACGGTGATGATGTAGGCGAGGATGGTGTTGGCGGTCAAGAGTTGAAGGTAGTTGTCTGAGATGTAGGTCCAGACGGCGAAGTCGGCGCCTTGGAGGTAGGTGCCGATAGCCAGACCGGCGAGCTGAAAGACTGTGGCGTTGAAAGCTGTTCGTGGGTTAGATGAGATCAACGAGCCTTTGGATTGAGAGAACTTACAATTGAAGCGGTACTTCAATGGACGACCGGATTGAACCAACTTGGTGCCGAGCATCTCCTGCGCAGGAAGAATGCGGTAGAGAACCAAGCTCACGAAGTAGTAGGCGATGCTCCAGCCAAAAGCTTCCCAGCTACAGAAGCCCCAAATTCCATCGGCGGGCCATGGCGTCTCAAGCTTGAGCTTCTCCAAGGTCAAAGTACGAGGGCTCAAGGTGGACGGGGCAGGGCAGCCGGTCTTGTCATTACAGACGAAGAAGAAGGTCCATAAGAGGGCGGGAAGTCCAAAGACGATGGCAAAGGCGCCGGGACTGAGTGAGCATCGAAAAGTCAGCGATTGAGTGTGAAAAGCAGGTTTAGAACGCGGAACTTACGGGCCTCCAAACTCATAGTTGTGCTTCTTAGGAGCCATTGTTGTGTAGAATTGTCACTGACTCAGCACGATGAATCTTATCAGTGTCTACCCGTAATCGAGAGATAGATATCTCAGCTGGCTTCAGGATAAAGAGTGAAACGCCGGCTTCCATTTGACGTGACGCGGTGGCATGAAAAGAGCAAACACAACACGCGTAATGGGAATACCCCTTTCTGATGGGGCAGCACAGCACCAATCAGCAGAAATTTGCGGCGTGGGTCGTGCTTCCAGTTGTAATTTCCAGTTACCGAGGCGCTAATCCACGGTGGGCGACGCCGAGCCCTCCTGTGCTCCGGTGCCGATCGGCCCCACTTCACCGGTGCCCGTGTTTTCCGCGATGCCCTCATTCTCGGACACGGAATAGACATGTGTTGAATGCAAGGGATCTTAATGACTGGTTCAATCGTTTCTCAAAAAGGCAAGTCAGGTCTCAGTAGACATTATCTTCATTACTCATAAGCTGACCCAACCAAAGTGTTGGCTACTACATTTACACCCGCCGCGCCTGCAAAGTTGCTACATCTAGCAGACGGTTCATCCATCATTGGCTCAACAGGACTCAGTAGATCTTCTTCTCGTCGTTGTGAGAGCACGTCTTGCCGTGGCTGGTGTGCTCAGCCAAAGCCTTCCAGCGACGCATCTGCTGGAGAACACCAGCGCGACCGCGGAGGATGGGGGTGGTGTTAGCGCGAGGGGGAACGCCCTCAAGCGAGTTGGCGAGGGTAGCAAGAGCGCGGCCAGCAGCCTTAGTGTTGACGGTGATGGCATCCCAGTTGATGTTGTCAATCGTGTCGCAGGCCTGGTGGTAGCAAGGATCATTCTCGCCCTCACCAGTGAAGATGGACGCGACTGGGATGCCGAGCTCGACGAAGCCGGCGTAGTCGGAGCGGCCATCAAACTCGGCAGAGATGGTCTCCTTGCCATTGGCTTCGAGGTAGTCGGCGATGAGCTGGGGACCAATACCGCTGTTGTTGTAGGAGGCGAGCTCGTAGATGGGGTTGGGGGATCCGATCATGTCGTAGTTGAAGTAGTACTTGATCTTGTCGGCGTCCTCGGAGCTGAGGTGCTCGGTGTAGTAGTAGGATCCCACCAGGCCGGCCTCCTCAGCGGCCCACCAGGCGAAACGAATCTTGTGGGGGAAGCCGCTGTACTTCTTAACAGAGCCCATGAGCTCAAGGAGGGCGGCAGTGCCAGAACCATCGTCGTTGATGCCAGGGCCCTCAAGAACACTGTCGAGATGGGCGCCGAGCATGATGACCTTGTTCGGATCACCCTCCTTGGTCTCGGAGATGACGTTCCAGGTCTCACGCTCCTCGAAGATGGCATCCACGATGAGGGTGACGATGACCTCCTCGCCGGCGGTGAGAAGGGCCTTCCACGCCTCTCCAGTCTCGAGGGTGATGATGCCCAAGGGGACGAGGAGACCAATGTTCTCAGCACTGAGAGTGGGCTTGGTGATATCGTCACCAGGGACCTGGTTGTACAGGATCACACCGAGAGCGCCGGCAGCCTTTGCGTTCTTGATCTTGTCAGAGACGGCACAGACGCCGCGCTTGATCAAGGCAAGCTTGCCCGTGGCATCGATGCCCGTGAAGGCCTCTGGGAGACATCCAGAACCATTGACGTCGTCGACGGGGGTGTCGATGAGCGGAGCCGTGATACCGCCCGGCAGGGGAGTGGCGGTGTTGTA